TTTCACAGAAGGTAATTGCGAGTGGTTATAGTTCATCTAAGATCAAGTTGGTTCTGCAGTCTTAGTTCATATTGGGACGTACTGTCAGAACGATATCAGGCCTGAATGTGGACTAGGACCTCACGGTACGCCTTCTTTCTGTATATGACTGTACCCGATGCTGGTGGCATAGAAGTTAATTGCGAGTGGTTTAGTCCATCTAAGATCAGACTGGTTCTACAGTCTTAATTCATATTGGGACGTACTATCAGAACGATACCAGATCTGAATATGGACTAGGACCTCGCGGTACGATTTCTTTCTCTATATGAAATATGTGTACACGTTTTCTGACAAAATTGTTTATAGTTCAACGAATTGGGTTCTGATTCATACTTAGAAATAGATAATCCCATTATGGACACTGTGCCTTTTGAAAATTTCATGCCAATTTTATTAATTTATTGCAATACTTTTAACTATATTATTCATAATCATTTTTATATTTCAGAGGAATATGCAGCTGCCACAAGACTTAGCCGTACCGTCAGAAATGACATGGTCTACGACCTTGGATCTTCATCATCACGACGTTTAGATAGTTGGGGCACCGTACACAATGATCACTACGATCCATTCGATGTTTATGAAGTTCCTCATAATGCACGTCATGAACGTCGCCTATCACCTGAATTACCACCACCACCAGCAAAAGGTATTCTAAGATCGTCATCGCTGCGTGATCGTAGCCCCGATCCCTACCAACGACGTTATCCAAGTGAACATTCATCACATCTATCGTATGAGATGCGTTCACGTTTAGAGCGTGCCCCAGATCCACATGCTTCCATGGGTATTTTCTCAAATCCCCTGACACCACCATCACCACCAAATGGTTCATCGTCATCATGTGGTGGTCTGTCCAAATCATTGTCATCATCATCGTCGGCGTCGTCATCAGGCTATCGTATAGTTGTTAGTAATTTACATCCCAGTGTAACACAATCGGATATTAAGGAACTATTCGAAGATATTGGTGAATTGTATGATTCGCGAATTGTTCGGCCTGGTGTAGCTGAAATTATTTATAAGTCATTGGCTCATGCCGAGAAGGCCGTAGATACTTATCACAATCGTCAATTAGATGGTCAACCAATGAAGTGTCTTTTGGTTAATCCCAGAGCCTCGAATAAACCCACAGCACCTGCAATAAGAACTTCAAGGTAGGTGATGTGGAATTGATTTTTTTATTATTTTTTTTTAATTTTCTGTTGTTTTTCTTTCTTACAGTTCACACTCATCAAATAAGACTCCCCTAGAGATTGATATAGATGCTTTACATAAAGTGCTTTTCCGGCGTCATTAGTATTGTATTTTCCATTAACAAATAAAATAAACAACAAAAATGAATCAACGGCAATTTGAACATTCATAACATTCAATAAACAATTATAATTACCATTTTTAGAATGTATATGTAAATCCTGTTCTTGCGCTCTCCATTTCTATATGCTTACAAAAATGCATTTTCTCCATGCTATCTAACTAAATTTAAACAATTTTGAATTATATTTCTAATATCCTTAACTTTGAACAAACTATATATTTAAGAAGATTCTTAATTATTTTGTAATTTATTACCTCCGATGATGACTATGGCCCCCTCTTTTAGTTTATTTGTTTTCTTTGATTATTTTTTTATATTTTTAAGAACATTTTTTGCTACAAAGCTTGCCTTTAGACGGCGTTTATGTTTTTTAAGAATTTGTTTCGATTTTTTTTTTCACTTCCTTGTTTCGCCTTATAGTTTTTAGTTATACGAAATTTATTTTTTTTTCAATTATCTTACCCGAACATTATTAATGTTAGTCTAGAATGTAGTAGTATTCATACTTCATTGGAAAATATGCAATTCAGGTATCCTAAAAAAATTCACATTAAAGATTAAATTAAAACATAATTATTTAATAATAATAATTAAATATACATATGTATAACAAATAAATAATAAATACATAGAAATGTAAAGAAAATAAATATTGAGATTTTTAAATGTTTGGAAGAGTATTCCAAAAAGTTGAATGCCCTTCACAGATCCGTGGATTTTAAATAATATTTTTTTGAGGGACCATCTCCAAAATAGGCGTGATTTTTAAGGAATATTTTTAACCACAGAAGTGATTAAAAAACATTTTTCGGGGAAAATCTCAGAGCCGTGAATTAAAAAAGAACATTTTTCAGGGACAATGCACAGGCGTGGCTTTTTGGGGACCATCACAGAGTAGAGATTTTTATACCCTTCAACACACTGTGATATAGAATATGCATAGAATAACCAAAGTACAGGTCGCATTTATGATTCGAATTGGATGAAATTTGGCATAGCTCATTTATTTGGCCCAAGGACGAACCCTATTGAAATTGGAAAAAATCGGTTCAGATTTAAATGTAGATCCCCTATATAATTTAGTCCGATTTAAGGTAAATGGTGCAACAAAGTCCCAAAATATTTTTCGATTTGCACGAAATTTGACATAGCATACTGAATTGAACCTAGAATGATGTGCGCTAAGTTTCGTAAAAATCGGTTCAGATTTAGATGTAGCTTCCATATATATTTTCGTTCGATTTATGGTAAATGGTGTACCAAAGTCCCTAAATATCTTTCGAAATGCACGAAATTTGGCACAGCGTACTGAATTAAACCTATATATTAAACCTTATATATTTTCGTCCGATTTAAGGGGACCCCCCCATTCTCGGTGTCAAAAATTTTTTTGATACAATTCGAATCTACTCTAATTCTACAATGTTCCTACAAAATTTCAAGTGAAAATCTCAAAAACTCTTGAAGATATAGCCGATTTATTGTGTCAGCATCAAGTGACGGCTAAAGGGCTTCTAAAACTTTAAACGCGTTTTACTCAAAACGAATGGCGGGCACGATAACTCAAAAACTAATAATCCAATCGGTTTCAAATTTTGACACGTTTCTCTGGGAGTGTGTAGCTCTCGTATGAACTAGGATAAAGCCAATCGGTGAAGATCTTCCTTATTTTTTAACTTAGTTTGTGGTAAAAAATAGGCGATTTTCCATAAAAATTTTTTCAAAGTTCCGCCATTTTGTTAATTGTTGTGCGAAGTCAATAATCCTAGTTCATACGAGAGACAGACAGATTTAGATATAGGTCCCATATATATTTTTGTCCGATTTAAGGTAGATTGTGCACCAAAGTCCCCAAATATTTTTTAATTTGCATGAAATTTGGCATAGCGTACTGCATTAAGCCAAGAATGATGAGTGGTGAGTTTTGGAAAAACCGGTTCAGATTTAGATATAGCTCCCATATATATTTTCGTCCGATTTAATATAAATGGTGTAACGAAGTCCCCAAATATCTTTTGATTTGCACGAAATTTGGCATAGCGTACGGAATTAAGCATTGAATGATGTGTGGCAAGTTTCGTGAAAATCGGTTCAGATTTAGATATAGGTCTCATATATATTTTCGTCCGATTTAAGGTAAATGGTGCACCAAAGTCCCAAAATATTTTTCGATTTGCACGAAATTTTGCATAGCGTACTGAATTAAGTCTGGAATAATGTATGCTAAGTTTCGTAAAAATCGGTTCAGATTTAGATATAGCTCCCATATATAGTTTTGTCCATTTTATGTAAATGGTGCACAAAAGTCCCTATATATATTTCGATTTGCACGAAATTTGGCATAGCGTACTTAATTTTGTGCAGAATGATGTTTGCTAAGATTCGTAGAAATCGGTTCAGATTTACATATAGCTCCCATATATATTTACGTCCGATTTTATGTAAATGGTGCATCAAAGTCCCTATATAACTTTCGATTTGCACCAAATTTTGCTTAGCGTACTGAATTGATTCAGGAATGATGAGTGGTAAGTTTCGGGCAAATCGGTTCAGATTTCGGCATAGCTCACATATATACTTTCCTCTGATTTTATGTAAATGGTGTACCGAAGTCCCTATATATCCTTCGATTCGCATGGAATTTGGCATAGCGTACTGAATTGAGTCTAGAGTGCTGTGTGGTACGTTTCGAGAAAATCGATTCAGATTTCGATTGAGACTTGAATGACATTATTGCGTTTCGTTGAAATTGGTGCAGATGTAGCTAGCTTCCATATGTATTTCGAACGGTTGTCTAATTGAGATTTAATTTTTAACAGTGCGACGTACCGAATAGCGTGTATCATGTTCCTTCGAGGTAACATTGACATGGAATTTTATACCCAAAGTGCACAATATACCTAAAGTGGTGAAGGGTATCATATAGTCGGCCCAGTCCGACTTTACTACTTCCCGTACTGATTCTAATTTTTAGTGGCCACCTGAGAGGCTTAAATTTTTTTAAGAACTCAAGTATATTCCCATACTTACCCAATCCAATATTTATATTCAAGTAAAAACAATAATGAAATTTGATTTTTTTGTTAATTTTATTTGACTTTTTTTGTAATCATTTAAAAATATATTTTTTTATTATTAAAAATACATTACTTTTGAAGAGAATTTCTTTGTTAAAAATACCTTGGTTGGTTTGAGAAAAATAAAAAAATATGACCACGAAAAATAAGAGTTCATAAACTTAAACAAGAGATATCAGTGTGAGAAGAAATTTCAAAATTAACAATGCAAATATTCCAAAAGTTTTGGATGAGTTTTTCGAATCACTTAGCAACTAATCCAGTGCATCCTCAAATTTCTTCTCACTCTTGTAACTCTCTTTTAAAAAAATGAAAATTTTGTTTAATTGTATGTCTTAAATACACTTAGAAGCTAATCAGGACTTTTATTGCAACATTTTGCTCTTATTAAAAAAAAGTAATAATAAAAAATCTTAAAATCTTGCATGAAGAAGAATAGAGAAGTACACTTTTACAAAAATCTCCAAAATGAGGGGGGGAAATCAAATCATGAATTAATTTCCACACCCACTCAGAGATGATTAATGTCTTTAGTTTTTTTAGTAGGTTTTTTGTTGTTTTGTTTTTTTATAAAAGAGGATGTGTTTTGTTGTTGTTGGTGTGCATTTACTTAAAAGTTACGCACACCAGTACCATAATTAGCACCGCCGGCACGATTTAAAGCTTCACGGAAAAGTTCAATGTCCAATTCATTGTCAACGCCAGCCTGCAGTTCAACAGCGAAGTTCTACAAAATGAAAACAGAGAACGTATGATTAATATTGATTTTGTTAATTTACACCGATATCGATTTAACTTACATTTAGCACATCTTTAATAATAGCCTTATCCGTTGACATTTTAGCCCTTTGTATGACACCGACATCCTGTCCGATCCAGGTGAGGAAAATGAATTTTTTTCTCTTGGACATTTCATCGCCCATTTGAATGCGAATATAACCGAATGCCCGTTCGTTGTCACCGAATTGTTGGCGGAACTCTTCGAAGCATTGACCGCGCACGGAGCAGGTTATTCTGGGACCATCGAATTTAAAAACGGCCCTGGAGGAAAACAAGAAGAAAAAATAACAAATTAGAGATTATTTAAAAAAACAATGAATAATTATTTTTAAGGTCATATCAAGGCGTAGAATTCTTAAAAAGTATTTTTCAAACGCCCTCTTTAGGCGAAAATTTTTCGGACTAAGGACCATCTCAGAGGCTTGGATTTTTAAAAATATTTTTCAAGGAGGAGTGGATTTTTTAAAATCATTTTTCAGGGACAATCTCAGAGGCGTGGATATTTTAAAAATATTTTTCATTGAAAATCCCAGAGGCGTGAATTAAAAAAATATTTCCGTCCGTCCGTCCATGTATTTTTGTGAACAAAGTACAAGACGCATTTATGATCCGATTTTGGATGAAATTTGGCATAGGCCCCTTATCTGGCCCAAGGACGAACCCTATTGAAATTGGGAAAAATTGGTGCAGATTTAGACATGGCTCCCATATATATGTTCGTCCGATTTCATGTAAATGGTGTACCAAAGTCCCTATATATCTTTCGATTTGCACGAAATTTGGTATGACGTACTGAATTAAGTCTATAATGATGTGTGTTATGTTTTCTGAAAATCGTTTCAGATTTAGATATAGCTCCCATATATATTTTCGTTCGATTTAAGGTAAATGGTGTACCAAAGTCCCTATATATCTTTCGATTTGCACGAAATTTGGCATAGCGTAATGATTTAGGTATAGAATGATGTGCGTTAAGTTTCATGAAAATCGGTCCATATTTAGATATAGTTCCCATATATGTTTTCGTCCGATTTTATGTAAATGGTCCACCTAAGTCCCTATATATCTTTCGATTTGCACGAAATTTAGCATAGCGTAATGAATTAGGTCTAGAATGGCGTGTGTTAAGTTTCGTGAAAATCGGTACAGATTTAGATATAGCTCCCATATATATATTTTCATCCGATTTAATGTAAATGGTGCATCAATGTTCTTATATATCATTCGATTTGCACGAAATTTGACACAGGGTACTGAATTAAGTCTAGATTGATGTGTGTTCAGTTTCCTGAAAATCGGTCCAGATTTAGATATAGCTCCCATATATAGTTTCGTCCGATTTAATGTAAATGGTCCACCTAAGTCCCTATATATCTTTCGATTTGCACGAAATTTGGCATAACGTACTGAATAGAGTGTAGAATGATGTGTGCTAAGTTTCATGAAATTCGGTTCAGATTTAGATATAGCTTCTATATCTGACCAAATGAAAAATGTAGTATCGGTTGCAGAATGACATGTTTATGCATCCAATTTCATTTTACTGGTCCTTTAAAAATGCGACATCTGTTAGGATTCATCTGTTGAATATACCCAAAGTGATGAAGGGTATCATATAGTCGGCCCCGTCCGATTTTACTACTTTCCTTACTGGTTTACAATTATGTTTTTGAGATTTGTATAAAATATTTTTTTAACGATAGAATTTGTTAAAAAAATTGAATTTTTTATTTTTCAAATACGTTTTAATACCCACCATTCTGTGTCTGTGAGATCTGAACGCACATCTTCATATGCTTCACGTATGGCATCCTTATCCAATGATGTAGCCATGGGCATCTAGAAAAAGAAAATAAAATCGAATTAATAAAATCCATATGAAATTAATTTCAAAATTAAAAAAAAAATGAAAGAAAGAAAATAATAAAAAACTAAAGGAAGTAAAACGATGTTAATCTAAAATACAAATTAACGGAATAATTTATATGAACGTATGTATGTCCGATCAATGTAAAATACAACAAAAAATATTACTTCCTTTCAACACAATAAAAAAATCAAAACAAAACAAAAATCGAAATAAATAACCAAAAACAAATATTTATATTTCCTTGACGATAGATGATGACCATCATCACCAACCTACCCGCCGTCACCACATAGCAGATAAACTCCAAACGGCAGACGTCAATGAAATTTTTGATGAGTTGACCGACGACGACGGTACGTGATAAACTTGAAAACTTCATTCAGTGTAGCTAGGCGTTGTGACCAAAAGCAACGTAAAATATATGACTACAGGTGAATGCATGTGTGGGATGGGGGAGAGCGGAAGCAAGGAAGTAAGGGAGGTTCGGAGTATATGTGTGTGTTTCAAGTTGCAACAGATATTGTGTCGGTGCATCCGAGGCCGCCATATAACAAAATGTAATTTCAGTTCAGCGGAATATAATTGCTCACCTAGAGGCCCACACACACATACGTACTTTATATACCGGCAATAATTCAATACCCAAATGCTTACAAATCAAAATTGTATTTTATTTACGACTCACAAATAATAAAAAATATATATATATATATATATATATATATATTTCACTTTTGGAGAAAAATCCATACAAAGTGAAAAAAAACCTCAAATGCCAATTTGGGTTATAAACAATTAAAAAAAATCGAACATAAAATTCTAATAAATATTTTTCTATTGTGTGTAAAAGCTAAAATGCCTTATAAGGCAATATTTGAATTGATTGGCGATGAAAATGCATTTTGGGGGAATTTATGATTGTTTTTTTTTTGTTTCCTTAAATGTTGCGGATATTCAGGGCAATCCAGTAGGTAAATAGTTCGTTTATGGAATTTTTTAAAATTCCACAATAACACCCTTTACCTTAAATGTTTACAATTTCAAAATAATACTCCTCCCTCCCCCAGAAATTCCATGCGAAATCCCAAATCCCGAGTTCATTGTAATTATTACCTTGGTTTGCATGGCAGTAACACCTTACTTCGTAATGTTTTTTTTTCTGCAAGATTGCATGATTTTTTCATTATGGAAGTGTTGCATTGTTTTTGGTGTTGTTTGAAATGTTTTATAACTTTTGTTTTGAATTGTTAACAAATTGAAACTTTCGTTTTCAATTTCATGGCGTTGAATTCGTATTTACGGGAGTAATTTTATATTTGTTTTAAATGGATTTTTATTGTTGTTTTTATGATATTTTTTATGTGTGGAGTTTTATAACCCTATTGAAAGTGGGGAAAATTTTTTAGATATAGCTCATATATATATTTTAAATGGTGTAACAAAGTCTCAATATATCTTTCGATTTGCACGAAATTTGGCACATCATACTGAATTAGGTCTAGAATGATGTGTGTTAAGTTTCGTGAAAATCGCTTCAGATTTTGATATAGCTCCCATATATATTTTCATCCGATATAATGTTAATGGTGCACCAAAAACCCTATATGTTATCGATTTGCACGAAATTTGGTATAACGTACTGAATTAAGTCTAGAATGATGCCTGAATGAAGTTTCGAGAAAATCGGTTCAGATTTAGATATAGTTCCATATATTTTTTCGTCCGATTTAATGTAAATGGTGCAACAAAGACCCTAAATAGCTTCCGATATGCACGAAATTTAGCATAGCGTACTGAATTAAGAGTAGAATGATGTATGCTAAGTTTCGTAAAAATCGGTTCAGATTTAGATATAGCTCCCATATATATTTTCGTCCGATTTAATGTAAATGGTGCACCAAAGTCCCTGTATGTTCTTCGATTTGCACGAAATTTGGTATAGCGTACTGAATAAAGTCTAGAATGATGTCTGCTAAGTTTCGAGAAAATCGGTTCAGATTTACATATAGCTCCCATATATATTATCTTTCGATATGCATGAAATTTGGCTCATCATACTGAACTAGGTCTTAAATAATGTGGGTTAGGTTTCGTAAAAATCTGTTCAGATTTAGATATAACTCCCATATATATTTTCGTCCGATTCAATGTAATTTGCACGAAATTTGGCACAGCGTACTGAATTAAGCCTAGAATGACGTGTGCTAAGTATTGTGAAAATCGGTTCAGATTTAGATATAGCTCCCATATATATTTTCGTAATGGTGTACCAAAGACCCTATATGTTTTTCGATTTGCATGAAATTTGGCATAACGTACTGAAATAGGTCTAGAATGATGTGTGCTAAGTTCCCTGAAAATCGGTTCAGATTTAGATATAGCTCTCATATATATTTTCGCCCGATTTAATGTAAATGGTCCACTAAAGACCCTGTATATCATTCGATATGCACGAAATTTTGCACAAAATACTGAATTAGGTCTTGAATAATTTGTGTTAAGTTTCGTGAAAATCGGTTCAGATTAAGATATAGCTCCCATATATATTTTCGTCCGATTTAAGGTAAATGCTGCACCAAAGACCCTATATGTTCTTCGATTTGCACGAAATTTTGCATAGCATACTGAATTAGGTCTTGAATAATTTGTGCTAAGCTTCCATATGTATTTTCGTCCGATTTAACGTAAATAGTGCACCAAAGTCTCTATATATCCTTCGATTTGCACGAAACTTGGTATAGCGTACTGAATTAAGTCTAGAATTATGTCTGCTAAGTTTCGTGAAAATCGGTACAGATTTAGATATAGCTCCCATATATATATATATATATATATTTGTGTCCGATTTTAAGTAAATGGTGCACTAAAAATGCATAGCTGGAAAAGGCGACGTCTCTTAGGATACATATGTAGAATATAGGGTATCATATAGGCCCAGTCCGACTTTACTACTTTCCTTACTGGGTTTTCAATGTATATTGGATTTTTTAAAATATAAAAAAAAATTTTTGTTATTTGAATTTTGCCTTGTAAGGGCAGTGATCATTTGAAAGGAATAAATACAAGTTATCAACGTACGACATTTGTAAAGCCACATAGCCCAATATGCCTGATGAGCCGCTTAACCAACGGCGAAACGCGTCGCATAATGGTGGGTACGTAGGTTCTTCTCCTGGCTTTCCTTTTCATTGCAAAACTTAGATCATCAAGCTCGACTCGAAAGAGTATAAATAACCACTTAAAATATAAAAAAATATTAATATTTTTTATATTTTTTTCGATCTATTCGAGTTTTGTAATATATAAAATATTTATACAAGCAAGAGAAACTATTTTTTTTAAACATTTTTAATGGGCAGATTTTTAAAAATATTTTTAGACGTTTGGTTTACGTTTGGTTTTTTTTTTAATATTTTTCAGGAGTATATTTTAAAGATATTTTATAAAAAATATTTTGTTTTTAATTTTTTTATTATTTAAAGATATATATTTTAAATATTTTTTATTTTTAAATATTTTTGTTTTATTATGTAAAATTTTATAAACATATATTATTTTTTAATTTATCATTTTTTTATATATATTTTTTTATTTTAATTTGAATAATTTTAATTTACAGAATATTTTATGTTTGTTCTTTCTTCTTCTTCTAAAAATGAATTGCTCCATTGACATGACAGACATTCATCTAGACATTAATTCATTTTTATAGTTCCGTTTTATATGAACAAATAAAAAAAAAACAAATTACAAACTAAAGAAAACAAAGAAGTCGCCTTCTTCATCAGACATTGTCGTTCACATTTTATGAAACTGATTTTAAAAATAAAAAAATCTCCTCCAACACCATACTCATTATCAGAATGATGACTATTATCGTCCCAGAAATGACAGAGAGAAGAAGAAGAGAGCAAATTACAAAACTTATATTGGAGGGATATGTTTCTGAATACAACAAGAAAAAAAAAAAATAAAAAAGTATTTACTTTGCAATATCAATATTGATGAGAGACCATGCATAAAGTGCGTGAGTTTTGCGGATGAGCAATCGACCAAAGGCCTTGTCTTTTGCCGAAATACAAACACATATACACACTCACAAAAAGCATCGACGACGAGGAAATAGTGTAAATTTCAGACAAAATATTTATGGACAGCAGTCAGTTTAACAGTTTGTGCACAGCTATAATTATGCAAACAAAATCATTTATTTTTACACAGAAAAACACACATATATGTATATCCTTGGACCCAAGGGAGCATGGGGAAGGAGGGTTGCCAGTGAAACAAACGCATGTCCAAATGTTTGCCCATGAGTCATAAGTAAATGTGAAAATGCATTTGTTATTCATCAACTATGGGATTATATAGTCTCAAAATGAAATGAAAAATTTAAAATGTGTTTTTTCTTCTTCTCTTGTTCTTCTTATGAATTCAACAAAATTTTGGTATCCAGACTTTTATTTAGTTTTTATTATACTACTTGTGTATTTTATTATAAATCTAGGAGAATAAATGTCATTCAGCTGTGAAAAATGCAATTCAGCAAAATTTTGGAAGCAACTGTTTGAAGGAAAATTGCATTCAGCAATGGAAAAATGGTGGCGTAGGGGATGATAGATACTAAGCAACGGCTCTGATTGGCTTTAACATGACGAAGTCCAGGCTTATCTTGGTCCCTCTTTCATCTGAATTATGGACACAGACCTCCTCGCGGTGCCACCTGGGGTAGCTATTTTCATCCCCCCATGAAGTAGTGAGCAAATATGTGCCGCGAGTTCACCCATAAGAACTATAAAAAATGGGTTGCCCACTCTCGTATGTGACCGCTGCCCTAACCATGAGATTAAAATCCTGCTAGAAAATTTTAATACCAAAATCGGAAGGGAAAATATATTTTTCCCCACATCCCACAACGACATGAGGTTGATTGACTTCGCGGCAGCAAAAAAATGGTAGTTAGCAGCAC